GTACGTCGTCTCTTCGGTGGGTCCGTACGTGGTCTCCTCCGTCGGTGCGTACGTCGTTTCCTCGGTTGGGCCATAGGTAGTCTCCTCGGTCGGGCCATAGGTGGTCTCCTCCGTCGGTGCGTACGTCGTTTCCTCGGTTGGGCCATAGGTAGTCTCCTCCGTCGGTTCGTACATCGTTTCCTCGGTCGGGCCATAGGTGGTCTCCTCCGTCGGTGCGTACGTCGTTTGGTGAGTTGGTGCATCAGTATCATCACATGGCTTATCGGTTTCTGGTGTGTAATCTTGTGCACCGACTTCAGAAGGGGTCTCATAGTGTTGACCTCCTGTTTTCTCGGGTTTGTAGTCTACCGTTGTGGTATCGGGACTTTCTTCAGTTGTGCCGGCATTGTAGTCCACAGTGCCACCCTCAGTGGTCTCGTGGGTAGTACCGCCAGTGGTGTAGCCTTCAGTTGTAGCACCACTCTCCGTGATCGTACCGGCTGTGTCATAGCCACCGGAAATGTTACCACTCTCGGTAGTCTCAGTAGTGTCGGTCGAATGGTCAACAAGTGTCGTGCTATCGACCACCTTTGCATCAGCGGGGCCGTAGCCACCCTTAACCACCCCCTCGGTGATCGTTGAGCCGTAGTGAATAATTGTAGTGCCATGGTCGACAGTCGTCTTACCGCCAGACGTCGACTCTGTAGTGCCGGGCGAAGTGGCGGTGCCCGTCGAGCCATAGTACTTGCCACCCTCCGTCGTGTGACCTTGCGTTGGTGTCTCAGTTGCAACCTCACAGTTGACACCGAGCGGTGCATCGACGGTCGTGTCGTAGTGGACACCAGTTGGGGTTTCCTCCTCTTCATCTCCGACTTGGACACCTTCGTCATGGCCGGCATCCCAGCTCGAGCTTTCTCCGTCGTACGCTGCGATGGTCTCTGCCTCGACAGCAGAAGTGTAGCTCGTTTTCGGGAATTCACAACCCCACACGTCGTCGTGGATGAGAACGCACTCGGCAGCGGTTGGAGCAACGCACACTGCACCGTTGTACGACAGTAGATACGGCTGGCAGTCGGAGGTGGCGACATCGCCAGCTTTGGGGCAGGCAGTACCTACAGGCTCGGCTCCGACGCCAGAGCACGGAATGCCACAAGACTCAGATAGCGAGTAGGTGGCGTCGTGATACACGGCGATCGGGACGTCAGCGGCCGCGAGACCAGCCGTGATAAAGCCGGCTAAAGCAGCAGCCGTGACAGGTTTCCTGGAAGCCATTGGTGGTCAATTGACAGGGAAGGTCGATGTCGATGTTGCCGCCAATGAGGAAATTGGATAATGAGCTGTTGGTGCAATCGACGTAGCGAGCTCTACGAGAGAGGTACTCACGGGTTCAAACGGCAAAGCAGTCGAGGGAGGTTGCTCGATCGTACGATTTAGTGTGACAGGCAACCTGTGCTTTTCACTGTGAAACGCTCGCTCCTCTATCATGATTTATTTGGCGAGGCTTTCTTGCAACGGTTCTGCTGGTGAGTCACCTTTTCTATTTTTTTTTTTATTTTAGCTGCTGGCCAGTTCGTAGTCAGTTTCCTCTCGCTCAAATCATGTGTCAATTTTGCGGATACTTACTAGTTATCGTATCACGATATCCTATTCTGCCAGCATCATGTCGTACGGAGGGGTTAGCAGTAGCGGGTGCGGCAGGTCTCAGCGGGGGCCACTCGCTGCGTGGCTGTCATTGAATATTTGATTAAAAATACTGATTATTTCAAATATAGTCTTAAAATGAGGCTCCAATTACTGGATTAGCACTTTTACTGGACATTTAGCTAGAAACCGCTATAAATCAGCATCAGTTTCGCTGGAGCTTCTTGCGCCAGTAACGAGGACATGCACGCGAATTATAATATAATTCGCAGTTTCTAAGCCGCAGGCAACAGTATGTCGCTTGTGAAACATGAACTAAGCAAGCTCAGAACGATCCAGTAATACGCTTTAAAAAAAATGCTAATTCAAAACATAGGTACCTAAGTAAAATAAAGATTAGTACACTGAGCCCTTAACCGTTTTCCAACAAAGCGTATTAGAAGCCGCAACAAGGGATCAGATGAAGTTGTATTTATCATGTTGGTCGCTACATTTGGGCTTAATAGGGCCTCCGTAGTGCTTAGTACGACTCCCGAGATTCGGTGGAAGAACGGTCGAGTTTACACCATCTGCAGAAAGTAGAAAACACAACTCCTTGTGTTTTCTACAGACCCGGCAAGGGTCGTTCGTGTAGTTGTTTCTCCGGACTTTCGCTACGAATTTCGGTAACCCATGACGTACTTGGGCGGGTCACCAAAGGTCGGTGCACCGCCGTCGTCGAGGTAGACCCTTTCAGTCTGGAATTCTCGTCTCCGAAGCACACGACCATGCTGCGTCTCCTTGCTAATGCTACTCTCTTGGCCCTCGCGGTGGCTACTCCAGACCCAAATCCGAACAAAGAGACCAACTTCTCGACCGTCACATGGGACAACTGGAGCAAGACGCGAAAGCTGAATCCGAGGGTGCAGCATATTCCGCTCGACCCTGAGAAGAGTCACCTGCGACCGCCTCCAGCGCAAATCCCCGACACGTTTGACATGTTTGTGGGGTCTTCGGTCTACCGAGATGGTTATCGCTGCGGTAAAACTCTTTTCACGGCGCTGAAAAGAGCGACGCATCCGGAACGTCTGCAGTTTGGCATTCTGGAACAAATCTACGAAGGAGATCCTACTTGTTTGGACGAATACTGCAAAATGGCTGCGGAGGAGTGGCCTGAAGATACCGAGTGTCGACACAAAAACCAGATCACCATCGACACTCGTGACGCTGCTGAGTCTGCTGGTTGCACGACTGCGCGTCATCTGCAGCAGAAGTTGGTGGGGGATCAAGAGTTCTGCCTCCAAGTCGACGGCCACAGTGTCTTCACCAATCGCTGGGACGAAAACATCCTTGCCGACTGGGCTTCCATTGACAACGAGATGGCCGTCATGACAATGTACCCGCACAACACGCACAAGGAGATGATCAAGGACAATGGCGACAACAACGTCATCAACTCCGTCCCTCACTTGTGCACTGTTATCAAAGGCGGCAACGGTCTGACGCGTATCAACGGAGCGGCTGTGATCAGCGACTCGTGGATGCCTCAAATGGCCGCTCTGTGGGGCGGTGGCTACTCGTTTAGCAAGTGTCATGCGGAGCGCAAAGTGCTTGTGGATTCCCACACTCCGTGGCTCTGGGACGGCGAGGAATTCATGCGCTCTGCCAATTATTGGACATACGGCTACGACTTGTACTCGCCCAGTAGATTGGGCAACGTTTTGTTCCACAATTATTCTCAAAAGCCCGCCAGCTTTTGGGTGTCGCCGATGGATCCGGAGAAGAAGAAACTTGACACTGAAATGAGCCGCAATCGTGTTCGTCTTCGCATTGGAATGCCGTTCAAGGGCTCTGTGGATACGTTTGAGCTTGACAAGTACGGCTTCGGCAAGGTGCGGTCCTTTGAGAGCTACTTGAAGTTTGCCAACATCACGTTTGAGGGCTGGATGAACGATACCAATTCCTGTGGCCAGCTACGCTGGGTCCCGTACGAGAATGCTACTGAGGTAGAGGAGACAGTTAGTCGTGGCTGGAAATTGTACGACGAAGATGTCAATGAGTTTGACTACGAAGACCCGGAGCCCATCCTCGACAATGGCGAAGAGGTAAACCGCACGTCTACTATGACTGAGAATAATTTAGATGTGGATATGAACGAGGAACCGGATCAACCAATTGTAGCAGCTCAAGTCAAGAACGCGGCAGCAATGGACAATCAACTCGACAACAACTTGGCTGCTAAACTGCGGCATGGTGTACCGAACCCGTTCGAGATAAGCTCTGGGCCCGCTATTCCAACTGGCATTGTCGTTGTTCTCATTTTGGCCGTTATGTTCGTTACGCTCTCAAACGACGCGAATTCCCGCGCAATTCGCCGTCGAGTTTGCGTGAATATGAAGAATAAGGCAAGTCACGCCATTGAATAGCATTGCACGTTTGAAAAATAAACACTTGGTTAGTTTTACTTTATTTCAGAATGATCCATGATGATATCCGGTTAGAATTGAGACGTAAGCACTGTGGGTTCAACAAAGCTTCTTACATTCTCTGAATTTTGTATCCACGATGTTGGAACCCTTTTATTATTTTAACCTAGTGATATCGATACAACCCTGTTCTCTATCGTATTGAATTTATTAGATACAGTACAGTAACCTTTTGGATAGCCATACGTTTATTTTCTTTGATAAAGCTCGTTTGGTTTTTACTGTATAACAGCACGTGTAAAATGTTGTTCCCAGAACGCTTTGGCTATTGGTTGAACTGATTTCAAGGCCTACTGTTCCATTCGTATTGAGCAATGACTAGACATTAGTATGGTTTCTCTAGGAATCACGAACTTCGGTCAGTCGGAGTTGACTGCGCGTAAGTTATTTGAAGGCAAGACCTTCATCCGTCCTCCGTGATGACAAGTACGCTTTTTTTAATGCATATAGTCCAGAGTTGTACCGTGCGAAGCGCGCCTTGATCATAGCCTTTATTTGTCTTTTTCTCCGTGCTTGAAGCCGTAGTGCGTCTACAGCAAAACGGGAAGTATCTGAACATATGTATTATTTACAAACGTACCGTAAACCACGCACGCACTCTCTGCAAACGTGCGGGTCCCTCCACACTGTAAACATCAACTGCGAAAAAAAGTACAGCTCCACCTATATTCCACCTATATATGTCATGTTACTTGAAGCAGTAGGAAGTAGTAATACCCAAATTCCTACATACTCTTCAAAGTCTGGCCAGACTTCTTCTTTCCGCGACAGATGCAGAAAAAGCTCCCTCGCTATAGAAAAGGTTATCCAAATTTGCATACACTTAGGCCGCGGTATACAGTGTCACCGTTTCCTAATAGGTTCAAGATTGATGGAAGATCGGCCGAAGCCACGCGTCCATTCAGCTCGCCTATCCCGACGTGACTTTCATTCTCGGACTTTCGACCACGTACTCAGTTAGCCATGAAGCGTTTGCAGTCTCTGGGGTTGGCGCTGCTGCTAGGAACGACAAGTGCAGTAGCCGACGACAGACCCGTGATCAACGTACTGGGGACGACGATAAACCTCGATCTGGACCCGAGTGTGCAGCACATTCCACTGGATCCGTACGACAAGAGTCTGCGACCCCCTCCGGCCAAGATCCCTAGCACTTTCGAGATCCACGTGGGTTCTTCGGTCTTTAGGGACGGCGTACGATGCGGCAAGACGCTCTTCACTGCGCTGAAACGTGCCGTTTATCCTGAGCGTTTTCGGTTTGGGATTCTGGAGCAATTAGTGGAAGGAGATCCCACCTGCCTCGACGAGTACTGCAAGTTGGCGTTAGGAGAATGGCCAGATTACTCGGAGTGTCGCTATAAAGACCAGATCCAAGTGAAACCCAGACCGGCAGCGGAGGCTTCAGGATGCACCACAGCGCGCCACCAACAGCAAGAAATGATCGGGGACGAAGAGTTTTGTCTCCAAGTGGATGGCCACAGTATCTTCACCAATGGATGGGACGAGATCATGCTCGATGAATGGAAGCGTATCAACAACGAGATGGCCGTTTTGACAGTGTATCCGCACGATATCCACGACTTTATCAAGGAGAATGGAGACAACAATGCTCCGGATTGGATCCCGCACTTGTGCACAACGAAAAAGGGAGGGAATGGCCTCACACGGATCGTTGGAGCCAGTATCAAGCGCAACGCCAACTTTCCGCAGCTGTCGGCGCTCTGGGGCGGCGGATTATCATTCAGCAAGTGCCATGCCGAGAAGAATGTACCGGTAGATTCTCATACTCCATGGTTATGGGATGGCGAGGAATTCCTGCGTTCTGCGGACTATTGGACGCACGGCTACGACTTGTACTCGCCCAGTAGGATTGGCAACGTGCTTTACCACAACTACTCCAAGAAACCGGCAAGTTTCTGGGAGTCTCCAGTCGACCCGGCCGTCAAGGCTTTGGACTCCGAGAGAACCCATAACCGTGTCCGTCTTCGCGTTGGACTGGGGTTCAAAGGACAAGTGGATGCGTATGAACTCGATAAGTACAAGTTCGGTACTGCGCGCTCCTTCCAGCAGTACATGAAGTTCGCCAACATGAGCTTTGATGGGTTTATGAACGAGACCAACTCGTGTGGCCAACTCCACTGGGTTCCCTACTCCAATGCAAGCGAAGTGGAAGAAATCGTGGGTAATGGCTGGAAGATGAATGCTCCGTCTCCTCTTCCTGCACAACCTGTGGAGAATGTACCTCAAGCGAAGCAAGTTGCTCGAGAAATGGTGGAAACGGGCCAAGAAGAGGCGGAAGACGTGGTGAGACAGCAGGCGATCAGTGCTCATGTGAAAAATGGTGCCGGTACTGGCGATGAAAAGCCTCTCATGCGGCAGGAAGTACTTTCACCTGAACGACGGAAGCGGTCTAACGCTCCGGCATGGGGGCTACTCGCAGTAGTGCTGGCAGCGCTATTTCTTACGCTCTCTAACGACAGCACGTCTCGTGCCATTAGACAAAGTTGCATCGCGAAGGCACCGCATCATAGCCACGATTAACCTGGTACCAAATAGCAGCGCTTTTACACCATCGAAGATCTTGATTGCAAATACAATACACAAGCAGCAACCAACATTTAGCATTATCATGCCAACCAGGTCGGCTTTCTTCTCCCTGCCTCAACAAAATCAACTTTGTTGAAACCACAGCAAGTAAAGGATTGGTCAAGGGTTACTCCAAGTCGATATGCTCATCGCTGCGTACTTACTAGAATGGAAGTACCTCACAAAACAAGTGGAAATACTGCATAGACGTCATCAACCCCATGCGAAACTGGTCTCAACACTCACTAAGATTGAGCGATTAGAGGTCTCGGGATGATTAGAGTGGATAACATTTGGCAAAGGGCATCTGCTTTTCTTCCGCTAAGATATGTACTTCGAAGTACTTGCTCCCTCGTTTTTACTTTCAGATATTCTTTTAACTATACGGGATGGAATTAATGATATTGCTGCTACATGCTTTTGTTATAATGTTTTTTGATACACCTCAATCGGCAGGATGTTTTCAGCCATTCGTGAAGGCACTTTGATCGTCGACGCCGGAGGCAAAGTTCTTTGTCTCCTACCAAATTCTGCTGCCGCCTCACGGTGCCTCATGCCTCTCCATCGCACCATCTTGCAATACTCACCCAAGTTAAGGTCGCCTTCATCGGCGTTCTCACTGTGGGATTAAAAGTTTCGTGCGTGTGTGCTGCGAGAGGTGGAAAAAAGGTCGCGGTACGCTTAGCCATGAAACGCAGCATGGTTTGTGATTCAAAGGCGAGAATTAAACTAAACATGTTATACTTCACGACGACTATTCGAGTCAGAGAGCTTGCCTATACGCAGCCCACGTAACGTCATTTATTACGGAAACTCGTTCCAGGCGGAGCCCTGGAAATGGCCGGAGCCGGAGGCTATCCTCTCTGACGTTGAGAGCTTCTCACTCTCTCTTCGGTTTGCAAAACGTTGAAAGCGCATTGGAAAATGGTAGAATACACATGACTGGGTGAGCCTTGTATGCTAGGAGTGTGTCTACATGTTATTAATAACACATTTTCCATCAATTTGGCGAAGAGCTACCAGTTGTTAAGGCTTAAGGCGTAGGATATATAACACTCTCCACGACGTTGAATCCACGTACTAGTCTTAAAAAGAAGGTTGGCGCCTGTTTGAGACTTCTATCTTTTGTGGAAATTGCTGTAGATTGTTGCAGTTTCTGAAGGAAACTGCAAAGGGGTACGGCTGGCGTACGAAACTGCTGATTTACGTTAATTTCTCACAGCTACAAAATTTGTATTATTGAAAATCCTGACATTTAAGTAAGTATCCTAACAGAATTAAAATATTTAAAATTACTTTTGGGGGGTTGAGTAATATCATTGAATATGCTCGGCTAATTTTGAAATAGCTAAGCGCAGCTACCACCAACTTCCGAGCTAATTTTACCATTGCTTAGGCAGCGAGACTCGCGTTTGCTTTCACTAGCCCCCCCCCCCCCCCTTCCTACCGCTTCTTCTCCAGCTTCTCGCTGCCGTTAAAAAGAAAGGTAATCGCGCTAACTAACTTCCTAGCTCTGATTTGAGGTTTGTGCATATAGCTTGCTATATAATGAAAAGTCCCTTTACTGTTAACTTATAGTTTATTTTTTAAGTTCGTGTTCTATAGAATCATCAACTCTCTTCCATAACTCATGCAGCCGTTTCGCGATGTCTAGTAAGTTGAAGGAAAGATCAATCCAGGGAATGAGTTTTCAAGTTCATGCAGTTCAAAACCGTAAGTATCTCTTTCGTAGTATCCTTCATGATTCGCCTCGCTCATGTCACTCTTGCCTCATTCCCCAATTTCCTCATTGGCGGCAACATCGACATCGACCTTCCCTGTCAATTGACCACCAATGGCTTCCAGGAAACCTGTCACGGCTGCTGCTTTAGCCGGCTTTATCACGGCTGGTCTCGCGGCCGCTGACGTCCCGATCGCCGTGTATCACGACGCCACCTACTCGCTATCTGAGTCTTGTGGCATTCCGTGCTCTGGCGTCGGAGCCGAGCCTGTAGGTACTGCCTGCCCCAAAGCTGGCGATGTCGCCACCTCCGACTGCCAGCCGTATCTACTGTCGTACAACGGTGCAGTGTGCGTTGCTCCAACTGCTGCCGAGTGCGTTCTCATCCACGACGACGTGTGGGGTTGTGAATTCCCGAAAACGAGCTACACTTCTGCTGTCGAGGCAGAGACCATCGCGGCGTACGACGGAGAAAGCTCGAGCTGGGAAGCCGGCCATGACGAAGGTGTCCAAGTCGGAGATGAAGAGGAGGAAGCCCCAACTGGTGTCCACTACGACACGACCGTCGATGCACCGCTCGGTGTCAACTGTGAGGTTGCAACTGAGACACCAACGCAAGGTCACACGACGGAGGGTGGCAAGTACTATGGCTCGACGGGCACCGCCACTTCGCCCGGCACTACAGAGTCGGCGTCTGGCGGTAAGACGACTGTCGACCATGGCACTACAATTATTCACTACGGCTCAACGATCACCGAGGGGGTGGTTAAGGGTGGCTACGGCCCCGCTGATGCAAAGGTGGTCGATAGCACGACACTTGTTGACCATTCGACCGACACTACTGAGACTACCGAGAGTGGTAACATTTCCGGTGGCTATGACACAGCCGGTACGATCACGGAGAGTGGTGCTACAACTGAAGGCTACACCACTGGCGGTACTACCCACGAGACCACTGAGGGTGGCACTGTGGACTACAATGCCGGCACAACTGAAGAAAGTCCCGATACCACAACGGTAGACTACAAACCCGAGGAGACAGGAGGTCAACACTATGAGACCCCTTCTGAAGTCGGTGCACAAGATTACACACCAGAAACCGATAAGCCATGTGATGATACTGATGCACCAACTCACCAAACGACGTACGCACCGACGGAGGAGACCACCTATGGCCCGACCGAGGAAACGATGTACGAACCGACGGAGGAGACTACCTATGGCCCAACCGAGGAAACGACGTACGCACCGACGGAGGAGACCACCTATGGCCCGACCGAGGAGACTACCTATG